TGTGGCATTTCAATATGGAATCTTATAAAACATTGGTGAGATAGCTCAACATCGAAAAACAAAATGACATGCCTTCCACATTCGGCGTGTATTTAATGGAGTCCCTGGGTGGAACACACTGTTGCTCGCTGGACTGGTAGCCAAAGGAACCCACCCAGAGGCAGGCACCTCAAAAGACCGGCCTGGGGGTCTGCTTCTGCAAGGTCACTGCCTTGAAAACCTCACGGAGTTGCCCTACCCTGCATGCATGGGCCCACCAGGGTTGGGATTGAGGTGACGGCAACTAACGGTTTTCACAGACAGACCATCGCCCTTGGACATGCTCAGTACCTCCTGGGGCTACCATGCTGGCTAGGAGTGTTAAAAGGGCGTCCCGGATTGGTCAGAGTGCCGCCAGGGAAGATGTTAGGAAACCTAGCGTAGGTAGTGCAGGGGAACAAGACTTGACTGATATTTGCAAGAGGTCATCCAGCTGGTTTCTGCTGCTCAATTCAAGCCCTAGATTGAATCGGTGTCAATGGCAAAATATGCATGCCCTGCCCTCCCTCCCTCCCCTCAGAGGGAGTAGGCATGTTTTTTGTTTTTTTTTCTCCTACAGACAGGCTCTTTACTACTTGTTTGAGGCCCCATGCTACACCCTGGCTTTGACAGCAGGACAATTTGAAGCCAGGAAAGAGACTTGGGAAGTGGAATCTTGGGTTCCAAACCAGCTCTGTGTGATCTTGGGCAAGGGCCTTGGGTTTGCTCATCTGTGCACGGGAGCCAACACTGCCTCCCTCATTAGCCTCTGGCATTGAGCACGCACCCTATAAACGCTGGGTTCGTTACCCCACAGGCAGTGGCTGTGCAGGAGCCCCACACAAGGCTTTGAGGGCGAACCGGGAGAGGGGAAGGTCAGAAAGAGCCCGCATGGCCATCCCATTTACGTTGGTTGCGACTCTGGACATTTGGCCTATCTCATCAGAGATATCATAGATTGGACTTTCAGATTGGATGCTTTGTAAGAGCAGGGGCCACTCTGGGCTCACTGCTACGAAACGGAGAAGTGTAACAGAGTGACCCTCACTTGAGAGGAAGGGTCGTATAATGGTAAGAGCGCAAACTCTGAAGTCTGCATTCAAGCCTAGCGAAGTAACCATGGCAGGTGACTGGCTGCTCTGGCTTCGTTTCCTCTGGTGTGAAATGGGTCCCAATGCCTGCTCCACAGGCGTGGTGCGCATCAGAGGAGCTGATGCTCCAAGCCCGCTTGGCCGTGTGGGACACTCAGTGCGCCACCATAACCACTTTGCTTGTTTGTTTGAAACCAGCTTGCTTGTCACCAAAGAACCTCAGTCAGTGTCCCTTTGGCTGTTTCTCCTTTACAACCACTCAGATGGGCGCGTGGGTCTGATGGGTTTTTAAGGCTCTGGAGGATTGTTAAGGCTTGACCCTTCTCTGTTCTCTGTTTTACATTTAAATTGTACTTACGTCCCCGTTTGATTTGTGGCACTTGACACATACACTGCGTGGCTGCACTGCCCATCGCATCAAGAAGTGACAGCATCTCATCACCGGATGTGTGGTTCCCTTTTTTCCTTTTCCCGGGCTCCCTCCTTCCCGTCCCTTTCTCACCCTCCCCGCCGCGGGCCTGGCCTCCTTGTGATCTTCAATTCCTTTGGCATATAAGCCATTTTTCTCTCTTCTTTTATAATAATAGTGTCATGAGATACTTACCTGTATGAGATGGGTTACTTTTGCTAAGCATAATGCCCTCCCATTTTGTCCATGCCATGAGGTGTTTGACAGACTCGTCATTGTGTTGAAGGATGCATCATATTCCATTGTTTGTATGGACCAGAGTTTGTTTATCCATTCCTTTACACACAAGGGTTCTGATGGTTCCCATGTTTCCTCTATTACAGAAATTGTTGCAATAAACACGAGTGTGCATATGTCTGTCTGCGTTATTTTCTTTATTTCTTTAGGGAATATGCCAAGAAGAGAGGTGGCAGGATCATAAGGTATTTATGTTTGCCTTGATTGAAGGAAGTACCCCACTGTTGCCTACAGTGGTTGCACAATTCGGCAATCCCACTAGCAGTGTGTGAACACTCCAGTCTCTTCACATCTTCTCCAGCCGTTATTATTTTCTGTTTGCTTTTTAATTTGCTAGGAGTGTTAGTGTGAGGTGGTATCTTAGTACTGTTTTAATTTGTATTTCTTTTATGACTAATGGATGCTAGCATTTCTTCATATAATTGTTGGCCACTTGAAGGTCATCTTTAGTAACTTGCCTACTCATGTCTTATGTTCGTCTTTGATTGGGTAATTTGTATTTTTTTATTGAGGTGGCATAGTTTTCGGTAGAGCTTTGAAATGAGCCCTTTCTCTATATATCTTTGCCAAATATTTTTCTCTTTTTACTCGTTTGGTACAGTATTTTGATGTACATAAATGTCATATTTTCAGAAGGTCCCAATATTCTAGTTTGTCTTCTGTAGTGTGTTTTTCCTTATGGCTGGTAGTGTATTTATGCCTTGCATTAGGATCTTTAAATGTGTCCCTATTTTCTCATGGATGATTCTTATGGTTCTGAGGTTTATATTAATAATAATAATAATTTTACAACCTCACCCAGTACCATTGAGTCAATTCTGACTCATAGGGACCCTACAGGAGAGAGAACTGCCTTTATGGATTTCCCAGACTGTAAATCTTTCAGGGAGTAGAAAGTCCCATCTTCCTCCCTCTGAGAGGCTGCTGGTTTTGAACTACTGACCTGGCAGTTGGCAACACAATGGGTAGCCCACTTTGCCACCAGAGGTTATATAACCGTTTTATATCTTCATATCTTAACATAGTGCTTAGTGGATGGAGCTCACAGTCTGGCCAATCGCATGAGTATGTGAAGCAATTCACCAACCTGTCTTTTACCTAAAGCTGTGCTTAGGGGAAGGAGCCCCTGAGCCATGTGTGGGGGAGGGTGGTGGGGGTGCGGGGCCGATGGAGGAGTAGGCCCCTGACTTTGTCTTGGGTCCAGGGTCTGGGAAGACGGCCTAAGGGCTGATATTTGAGCTAAGATGCCAGGGATGAGTAGCTCTCAACCAGGTCAAGTGTGGGGGTGTGGCGGGGAACGAGTAGGAGTTAATTAGTGGAAGAGATGGTGAGAAATTGTCATGAAAGAACTGGAAAGTGAGGTCTCGGGAGGATTTTGTTGTTGTTGCAATTTTTTTTGCCTCCGAAGATCAAGAGACTTATTTAAATGCTGACAGGAAGGATTAGGTAGAGCG